AGAATGAAGTCCTTGACAACTTCAATCTTTTCTCCGTTGATAAGTGTTGTTTATTGGTTCAGTGGTAAGGATGTTTGTTTTCTTTACATTGAGATGCAATCTGTAACCGAAGGCTGTGGTTTTTGATCTTCATCAGTAAATATTTTAAGTCCTCTTCACTTTCAGCAAGCAAGGTTGTAGCATCTGCAGATCGCAGGTTGTTAAGTTATCTGGAGAGGGGTAAACTGGATATCAGGACCAAGGTACCTATTTTAAAGGGACTAGTCAGGGTTGTTGGTTTATGGCCTATTCCTTCGTAGCTTTTCAGAGCCCAGGAGCAGAATCAGAAAAGAGTTGGATTAATTTAAGTCAGTGTGATTTTACTTCCCCGGGCCTCATGGAGACATTTTTTAATTGTCATGACTAGGGGGTGGGAGGCAGGTGTTGTACTGGCATCTAGTGGGTAGATGCCAAGGATGTTTCCCAACATCCTATAGTACACAGGGAACTTCCCACCGCATAACCAAGAACTGTTTGGCCTTTAATGGGCAGTATTGCCAAGGTTCAGAAACCTGCTCTAAGCAATGACCAGAGGAAAGAAGAAAACAGATTTTGTTGGACTGTGAAAGGTCAGAAAACAAAAAGCAATTTCCTCTTCAGAATACGGTTATGACACAAACCTCCTGTTACTTCTGCTGCTTCTCCACACAATGCCTGGGATGCCTGGGCTTCCACCACTGAGGGTTTAGGGAATTCTTCTCAGAATATAGATCATCTAGTCCGGGTGTGACACTGTGGGTTAATGTGCCAGACTGCAAAGCCATTGGAACTGCAAGGTTGGTGGTTCAAGCTCACTAGCTGCTCCTCAGAAACCCTATACAGGGTCGCTATGGGTTGGAACCGACTCGATGGCACTTAACAACAACAACAAGTCTCTATAAAACCCTAGCGACCACAGAGAATGTGAACATAACGTAACGGAATAAATTTCAAAGCATAATTTTGTGGAATATTATCATCACCGTTAATATGACTTTAATCTTTGTGTAGCAATAGATCTATACCAGTAACACCTTTCTAATTCTGTTTCTTTTTCTCATTTTAGAAACAGGCCATATCTATACTTTTGGAGATGGTCGACATGGGAAACTGGGGCTTGGACATGAGAATTTTACCAATCATTTCATTCCTACTTTGTGCTCTAATTTTTTGAAGTTTAAAATTCAATTGGTAAGGGGAGATTCTAGTTCTCTGTTACATTTTCATGTACCTATAGCTGAATCTTTATAGCATTTCATAGAGAATATGTACTTTTTGTTTGTATGAAAGAGTGTCATGAATATATTGAATTCTTATATTAGTTTTCCGAAACCCAAACAGCAAGACATCATGCCACTCTGAAGATCTGCCCCTCACCTGGTTTTCCTCCTTCAGTGTCTTCCTTGTTATCCTAATGTAGCCTCTTCTGCTTTGAAAGCAAGGACTGCATCACACCTAGAATCTGTGTGTCTCATCAGAGGGCCTTGTTCACAGTTGTTGTTGCTAGTGTCGTCAAGTCAGTTCCAACTGAGAGCGACCCTGTATATGGTTTCCAACTTCAGTCAATATTATTGGCACTCACAAATCTTGCATAGGAGTAAATCTGATAATAAACTAAAAAGATATTTGATGAAGTGCTGTTCAGATAGGAATTTATTCTTTCAGTACCACATTACCTTAAGATCTGTGTTGTTTCTATTATTTTTGCCACTTAGAAACAGAAGACTTTCAAGTATCCTGTTTACTTGGTGATGGTAGTAATCTGTTCTCCAAAGACTCAGTGTCTCATACTGTTGGAACCCTTGTATTCCATTCACTGACTTGATGAATGCCTACTATGTGCTAGATCTTTTATTAAGTATTAGGACACAAGGTATATAGGAATTAACAAAATGGCCCAGTCCTGTGTTTATTGTGCTTACAGACTTAATGGGGAAGATAATTTTTAAGTGATATGTAAAAATATGTTTCAATTTTAAATTTGAAAATATAATGAAGGAAAAGGTGTAGGGCATGCTATTTTTACAGCTTTTAGTGGCAAATCACTTTGTTTTCCTTCTCTGACAGCTTTCTGCCTTAATACAGGTTCTGGCTTTCTCAGATTTTACTCTGTGTGTGTGTCTCTGTGCAGAGGAAAGAGTGTGAGTGTGTGTATAGTAAGTGGTAATAATCATTTAATAGTTTATGTTTTATAGCTGAAAGCTGTCTAAAACCCGCTTGTGTTTGAAGCCAATGTCAATTAATGTTTCTGTGGATTTACGCTGCAGGTTTCTTGTGGTGGATGCCACATGCTTATTTTTGCCATTCCACAACCTGGCATGTCAGAAGAAATTGACACTGATGAAATGAACGATTCTTACTTAACTCTAAGGACTGGTCTACCCACGAGAAAGTTGGCCTCCGGATGTACACTGCATAGAATGTTATCAGCCCGAGTTAGGAGAAGAGAGAGGGTACAGTTGTGGCCTGTTTTATCTAATAGTATTAATCTAGTACTGCAAGGAAAACAGGAAGAAACAGTAGCCTTTGAAGTCACGGAAGGGTCCTGTCAGCTAAATTTACTAAATAAAATGAATAGAATTGATGTCTCACACACTTACAAAGTGAATTTATAGTTAACCAGTGATGAAATATGCAATTCCAAAAATTCAAAATGATCACGTTATAAACAGTGATACTAAACAATGTATCATTCCATATGCTGCTTAATCACTTGATTCTGATACTTTTCTTAACTTTGTGACTTGACTTTTTACTTGCCACATACTTTTATGTTTTCACCAGTGAAAGGCAGAAGATAATAAAATAAGGGCTTCAGTTTGAGAGAAGGGATAGTCTCTCTCAATTTAATTGAGAAAATCTCCTGTGCTTTAAAATTGTTTTTGAAGACATGTTTTTCAAAATAGAAAAATGCAAATCATTTTTAAAGGAAACGTTCCTTTTTAAAAATGACCCTACAATCTAAAATGTTATTTCTTTTGAAGTGAAAAGGATGAAGTTTGGCTTTTGATGATAAATATATATATATATATATATATATATATATATATATATATATATGGGTTTATAAATATATGTGTATAAACTCCATTAGATTTTAACTACATTTTTCAACAAAATTTTTGAAGGCCCCCTTCTATATGGAAAGATTGAGGATTATCGCGTTAGTGTTTTGTTGGCACTGTTGTTGTTTGTTTATATTTAACGTGTAATTTTTGTTTCTTATGGGAAGCTTCCAAATTAACAACTTAACAACCACCCAGGTTGGTATGAACTGCAAGGATGGCGATTCAAACTCACCCGCCGCTCCTTGGGAACCTTGTATAAGCTATGAGTCGGAACCGACTCAACGGCATTTAACAACAACAACAAGATATAGAAGGAGTCCTGATGTGGCACTAGGTTAAGCACTGGACTGCTAACCGCAAGATTGGTGGTTCAAATTCACCAGATGCTCCTCTGAAACCCTACATAGGGTCACTATGAGTGGGAACCAACTCGATGGCACTGAACAACAATGAGAAACAACTCAACAAATCAGTTTTGAACCCTTGGGGGTTATTAAAAGTGAATATTGTGTATTGGTAGATTTTGCAGTCTTTGTCTTATATATTTTTGGCAACTACCGGATAGTAAATGTCAATATGCAATATATAATATCTTTTAACAGCTTCTTTACCATGTTTACTTTATAGGGCAAATCTCCAGACAGTCAGATGTCCACACTGACTCCAGTCGAAGAAAATTCAGAAGCATGTCATTCTTTTTCTCATCGTTCAATCCCTTTCCAATTGTCTTCAAGTAACCTGCTGGGGAGACCTGTTTCTGGAATGGCTTGTTCCATCGGACTCGGTAACATTTAGGATTCTGCCACTTCTTAGGAATAATGCCCCTTTTAGGCTTATTGTGTTTATTCTTATTTTAAGATAGTTCCTTTAATCCATTAAGTTGCCACCTTTTTTTTTTTTTCTTTTTTAACTCAAATCTAGTATTACCTTAAGTCAAAACCACTGCCAGTGACTCTTACACTACCAGGTCACGACAGCAATGTATAATGCACATATGTTGTTATGAAGCGCCATCAAGTCAGTTCTGACTTAGTGATCTGAACATGTGTGGGGGGTTCAAAATGTTCATGGAAAATGAAAGTAAATGATAATGGAATTTGCCATGAACCTTGGGAGCCCCTTTTGTACATAGTGACTTGCCCAAGATCATTCCATTTACAAACTGTGAACAGGATTTGAATGCCAATCTTCCGGCCCTATATAGAGTTCAGAGTTAGACAGGACAGTGTAGTGGTTAAGAGCTTGTGGTATAGAGTTAAGTTCACCTGGGGTCACATACCAGCTCTGCAGTTTAGTAGGTATGCAGCTGACTTGGAGCAAGTTAACTTAATCTTGCTTATCTGCAATTTCTTTATTTTGAAAAAGGGCTTAGTAATACCTATACCAGAGAGAGAATGAGGATTAAATGATATCTGACATATAAAAAAATTATTTAGCATTGAGCCTAGCACCTCTGGAAATCCCTTCACAAATATATTTATAATTAATGTTAACATCTCTCTCTCACTGCCTGCATTGCACTGCTTGTTAGATACCTATTTTTTCATGTTTTTTATTGTAATCCCAGCTCTTTAAGTAGTATACACCTATTCTAAATACTTTTGTTTGGGGACATTTGTGTATTTTACGAGTGACACATAAAAGCAATAGTTTTTGAGCAAGCCAGTATGAGATGACATGATGACTAAATGTCCAGTAGAAAGTGTAGACTGGACACTCTAATACGGCTCTACTAAGTGTCCTCAGTAGACCCTATAGCACCTGGCATGGTGCCTTCTTGATGGATATTTTTGCCTGGTGCTAAAGACGATTGTACTTTTGAGTAACCATTATGTTCTAAATACTGAGCAAAGCATTAGGATCCACAGTGACCAAAACAGTTACCATCCCTGCTCTAATGGAGCTTATAGTGTAGTTGAGGCAACCTAAAACCAAGGAAACAACTTAAAGTTACAAAAAAATGTTATGAACGAAGGAAAAACAAAAGGTACTAGATAACTTATAGTGGAGGAAAGGGCTTTGATCTGGGAAAGGCTTTGCTGAGAAGGTAGCATTTAAGCTAAAGCATAAGGAAAACAAAGAAATAGCCATACAAACAGAGAGGATATATGCATTCCGGGCAACAAAAAGAATACAGGCAAAGGTTCAGAGGCAGCTCATAAGGAAAGGAAAGGAGGCCAGTAGAGTCTAGAAAGCAAGGGTAAAGGCTGGGCCAGATGATGTTGGAAAAAGGAACCGGGAAAGCTTGTCCATAGTCTATTGACTGTGAGAAGCCTTTGTGCTTTGAATGTTTTACTTAAGTACAATGGAAAGCCATTAAAGGGTTTTAAACAGGAGAGTGATAATGTTCCAATACAATGCACATTTTAATATGATTACTTATTTCTCTGTGGAATGTAGGAGGCCAGGATAGATGTAGGAAGAATACTTAGGAGATTTTTACAATAATAAGGAAGTGGAAAGATATGATATATATTTTAGACAAACAACTGGATCTGCTAAATGTGTTAATGGGCTACACATTGTTGTTGTTGACGTTAGGTGTCATCGAGCTGGTACTGACTCATAGCGACCCTATGCACAACAGAATGAAACACTGCCTGGTCCTGGGCCAACCTCACAATTGTTGCCACACTTGAGCCCATTGATGCTGCAACTTTGCCAGTCCATCTCACTGGGGGTCTTCCTCCAATCCTGATGCCACGCTTTTCTTCATATAACCCAGTTTCTTAGATTATTAGCTCAGTATACAGGTTGAATAAGTATGGTAAAAGAATACAACCTTGTCACATGCCTCTTAATTTGAAATCATTGAGTGTCCCCATGTTCTTTATGAACAACTGCCTCTTGGTCCATGTACAGATTCCTCATGAGCACAATTAAGTGTTCTGGAATACTCATATTTCACAATGTTGTCCATAGCTTGTCATGATCCACACAATCAAAAGCCTTTGCATAGCCAAGAAAGCACAGGGTAAACATCTTTCTGGTATTCTCTGCTTTCAGCCAAGATCCATCGGACATTAGCAATGATATCCCTGGTTCCATGTCCTCTTCTGAATCCGGCTTGAACCTCTGGAAGTTCTCCGTCAATGTATGATTGTAGCCGTTTCTGTATTACCTTTAGTAAAACTTTATTCACATGGGATATCAAAGATATTGCCCAATGATGTCCGCATTACGATGGGTCTCCTCTCTTTGAAATGGACACAAATACAGATCTCTTCCAATCAGTTGGCCAGATAGTTATCTTCCAAATTTCTGGGCATAGATCACCTCCAGTGCCTCCTCACCTTCTTGAAAGATTTCAATATTTATTCCATCAATTCCTAATGCCTTGTTTTCCCCATTCCTTCAATGCACCTTGAACTTCTTTCTTCAGTATCATTGGCTCTTGATCATATGCTACCTCTTGAAAATGTTGAACATCGACCATTTCCTTTTGGTACCGTGACTCTGTGTATTCTTTCCATCTTCTCTTGATGCTTTCTACATCATTCAATAATTTGTCCAGAGAATCCTTCAGTGACAAAAGCCGACGCTTGATTTTTTTCTTCAATTCCCCATTGAGAAATGCTGAGTGTGTTCTTCACTTTTGGTTTTCTGATTCCAGATCTTCGCACATTTTGTTGTAATATTTGACTTTGTCTTCTCGAGCTGACCTTTGAAATTTTCTGTTCAGCTCTTTCTTGGACCTCCTCATTTCTTCCATTTGCTTTAGCATCTGTATGCTAGAGAGCAAGTTTCAGTGTCTCTTTTGACATTAATTTTGATCTTTTCCTTATTTCTTGTCTTCTTAATGACTTTTTGCTTTCTATACCTGTATGATATTCTTGATTTCATCCCACAACTCTTCTTGTGTTCTAGGTATGAAGTAAAGGGAGAAATCAAGAGTGATTTCTAGTTAAGAGATGGTTGGCAAATTTGAGGAAGAAAATTAAGAATCAAGCTGTGAGACTTCTAAGGGGAAATATCAGGCAGATGTCTGAAAATGCAAGCCCAAACTTCAGAATAGAGATCTGGCTAGAGATATAAATTTGGAGACCATCAACACAGACGTGATAGTTAAAATCCATGGACTTTGCTGAAATGAAATCACCTACTCCAAAGTAGAGTTAGAAGATGACCCAGTAAATGGGCCTGAGAATGTCCAACATTTAGATAGTAGAGGAGGAAGGACCAGCAAAGAAGCCATGTCAGCCTAGTCAGCCAGTTAGGTTGTTGTCACTGTTAATGCCATTGAGTTGGTTCTGACTCACAGCAACCCTATATAGGGTTTCCAAGAAGTGGCTCGTGGGTTTTAACCACCAACCTTGTAGTAAGGTGGTTGTTTTTGTTAGGTGCCATCGAGTCAGTACTGACCCATAGTGACCTTATTTATGCACAGCAGAACGAAACACTGCCCTATCCTGGGCCAACCTCACTACTGTTGCCACGCTTGAGTCCATCGATGCTGCCACTTGGCCAATCCATCTCGTTGGGGGGCTTCCTCTTTTTCTCTGACCCTCCACCTTACCAAACATGATATCCTTCTCCAGTGACTGGTCTCTTCTGACAATATGTCTGAAGTATGATAGATGAAATTGGGCCATCCTGGTCTCCAAGGAGCACTCTGGCTGCACTTATCTACACATCTATACACAGATCTATTGGTTCTTTTGGAAGCCCATGGAACTTTGAATATTCTCCTCCAACACCACAACTCAAAAGCATCAATTCTTCTACGTTCTTCCTTATTCACTGTCCAGCTTTCGAATGCATATGAAGTTATTGAAAATACCATGGGTCAGGTGCACCTTAGTCCTCAAGCTGACATCTTTGCTCTTCAACACTTTAAAAATGTCATGTATAGCAGATTTGCCTAATGCAATATGTCGTTTGTTAGTACTAGTAAGTATGGTAGGAGGAGAGAGTACTGTCATAAATGCCAAGTGCTGTTCAAAGATTAGGAGAGAAGAGCTCAAAGGTCAAGGAAGAGTTGTCTAAGGACTTGGCATCATGGAGATTATTGGTGATCTTTCTGAGGAAGGGCAGGGCAGAAGCCTGTATGAATAGGAACGACGTGAAGGAAAAATAGGGTGTGCTGATATTGGTTGTACACGTTTTGGTTATGAAGGGGAATAGAGGAATCAGCCTGCAGCTAGAGGCAGATGTGGGAGTAGTGAGAAATATAGAAAAAACTTAACATTTCTAGTTATCTGCTTTATGATGATTGATCACCTTGAAGTTTTCCATAAAAGTGTCTAGCTACGTAACAAATTACTCTAAAACTTTGTAGGTTGTACCAAGAAACATAATCTCACATAGTCTCAGGTGCAGCTTAGCTGAGTGGGTTCTGGTTCAGGGTTTTTCATGAGATTGTAGTCATGCTGTCAGATAGGGCTACAACCTGAAGACATGACTGAGGCTGAAAGATTAGCTTCCAAGTTCACTCACATGGACACTGGCAAAATGCATCACTTCCTCACCACATGGGCTTCTCTTAGGATGTTCACTCCATGGCTTCCCCCAGAAAAAGTGATCCAAGAAAGATAGAGTAGAAATGACTGAGAAGATGCTACAATGACCTGACACTCATTTCTTCTTTATTTTATTGGCCCTACAGAGCAACCTGGTAAAATGTGAAAGGGGAGCTACACAAGAGTATGAAAACCAGGAGGCTGTGGATCATTGGGCCCATCTAGGAGGCCCAATTGCTGGGTAGTGTTTGGTCCTGGTGTGATGCTGTAGGACAAGCACTGAACTGTGAACGGCAATGCCAGCAGTTCAAACACACCAGCTGCTCCTCTGAAACCCTATATAGGGTTGCTATTAGTCAGAATGGACTCTATGCACTTAACTATAACAATTTATTGCAAAGGAATCGTATTTACCTTTTATGTGAATGAAGAAACTGTAATCTGTGTGAAAGTGTTTTTTTTTAATTGTATCGAAAATATACACAACAGAGCCTTCCCCAAGCCAACAATTTCCACATGTACAATTCATTTATTCATGTTATGTAAATTTTATTGCTATTGTGTTTTCTAATTTATTCCACTTCATTAACATAAACTCAGTTCCACCTAAGTAAAACTTGCCCTTTTCCCTTTTAAGCTTTCAGGAGTTTTTGTAACCAGTTGTTAAGAATTCTGGTTAATTCACTTGGCAAGTAGTTAAAGGACCTTTGGTAAAATTGTACCTGCATTTTAAATTACAGCATCTTTTCTGTTCGCTTGGTTTTCACTTTTCCATTTAAGTTTAGTTTCTCTTTTATCCTTTCAATCTTTTAGATTACCAATATACAGTTACCCAAGAAAAAAACATAGACAGTGCTTCATTAACGGATTCAGAAACGCTTGGCGACACTACAGATATCTTAAATGTGGTAATGATTTCTAATTTATCTGTATAGATATAAATTTGAACTTCAGTTCATGTTGTGTTTTGTGTGTGTGTGTATACTTCCTATGCTTTTTAATAGGCTTAAAAAAGCTATTTTTGTGTGTGTGTTTCTTTCATTTAGCATATTTTTAATCAAAGTTATCCAGGTATAGTTTACATCAAATAAAATTTTATATCACTTCTCTTATTAATATGACAACTAGGAGTTGATTATCTTATCATCTGAACTGTTTTGCATCAATATTGTATATAGATTTGGAATGTATAAATACATAACTGTATATATATCATATATATGTTGTTGCTGTTAAGTACCATTGAGTTGGCTCCGACTCATAGTGGCCCTGCACTGGATTTCCAAGGAGTGATTGGTGAGTTTGAACCGACCTTGCAGTCCAGTGCTTTATCCCACAGTGCCACACCAGGACTCCATACATATATAGAGAGCGGATATATATATTGTCTAATGGACCTCTCGTATGGTGCTGTAGAGTAAGCACAGAACTGCTAACCACAAGGTTAGTGATTGAAGCCCACCAGCCACTCCTTGGAAACCGTATACAAGGTCACTATGAGTAGAAACTGACTCCATGACACTTAACAACAACAACACTGTTTAATACATTTATTCTCTTGACAACAACTTTTTATTTTTTATTTCAGACACATGTGATGAGTCTGAGTTCCATAAACAAGTCTTTGAAATTGTCACCACTTCAAAAACAAAAGGTATAATATGGGGAACTATTGTGATTATGGTGGGAAAAAGCAATTTAAATTGTTTCTGTTTTTCATTTTTGGGGGAAGGTTTCTGGAAAGAAATAAAGGTAAGCATTCACTTTAGTATTTCAGATGGAGAAACACAATGTAGATAGTGTCCATTTTGGCTTGTTCTGTTGATGTGATCTGTATTTTCTGTGATGCTACAAAAATAATAGAATTTCATTCCTGATACTTGTACTTTAAGGCCTTTCACTTTCAGCCATAATAGCCATAATTTCTTGCCTTCAAGGCAATTGATTATGATTACCATTCTTGAAGAATATGCACAGGGCTCTGACTTTGGTTTGCTATGACTTTGGATGAGATACTATGCTGACTTTACGAAATGATATTTGTATTATTTTCTGTCTCTAAAATTTTGTGAGTTATGTGAAAATATTTTAATTTATCAAAGAATTGATAACACATAAAATAAAATTAAAGTACCCATTTGGAAATTAGTCTGAGACTGTTCATGGGTGAGAAACAGACATTTAGTGAATTAAAAATGAGTAGCAAGAAGAAGGAATTTTCTGTGGTTTTAGAGAGGTAAATGTCTGTCCTGAATTCCTTTGCCTTTCCTAGCTTTAAGGACCAGTGGGGTGAGACAGTGAGGGGCCTGGGGATAAGGAAACTAAATTAGAGGAATGCAAATTGAGGGAAGATGGCCATAGAAGGTACTTCTTTTATGTTTTTAGTGCCTTCTCCTTATTGTTAAGTTGGAAATCCTTGCATTCAAAGCTACAGAAATGCAAAACCTTGCTCAAGTATAAAAATTGAGAGCAAATCCTCATTCATCTTATTTCCATTTACTGAGAGGCATGGTGAAGAGTGTGAGTGAGCTTATCTCTTGGCTCTGTTGTGGTTGCACAGTGGACACTGACTGACGGACTCATGGTACTTGCACACCAGACAACTTTCCACCGTCTGTCTTTCTTCTAACTTTTAGACTCAGGGCTCTGCTTCTCCCATGCTGCTTTGATTGTGCTAGAAAAAAAAGAAAGCACATGCACTTATAAATAAGCATGTACAGCATTTGAGCCTGTCTCCCTGAAGGCTCTTGGAAGAATTGTGACTTTTTGAAGAATAAGACCTAAAACAAACAAAAAGATTTACACTGATGTGTCCATGTTACACTTTACATAGTGCTTTTAAGTAGAAGCCCTAGCAGGCCTACTTTAGTAATTAGCAAAAGATTCACTCACCAGAAACCCTGTACAGAGTCCTATGAATCGGAACCGACTCAACAGCACTTAACAAAGACAAAAACAATATATGTGTATGTGTGTATACGTATACATACACACACGTATGTGTGTGTGTTTGTAAACAACAATAAAAAACAAAAAACTAGCCTACTGTCATTGAGGCAATTCCAACTCAGAGAAACCCTGTGTAGAGTTGCGGAGACATTTAAAAATCTTTGTGGGAGCAGAAAGCCTCATCTTTCTCCCAAGGAGTGACTTGTATGTTTGAACCTCCAGCTTGTGATTAGCAGGCCATACGTATGTATGTGTATGTGTGTGTGTGTATATGTAGGGAGCACTGTGCTCCATACAATAAAGCATTAGACTGTGAACCACAAGGTCAGTGGTTCACTGCCGTGTTAATTTTTTAACTTGTCCTATTTAAATACTTTCCTTTGCAAAATATTGAATCTCATCATAACCAATCGCTCATCATAATTTATAAAATTTGGTGAAATGATGTGTGACTATCCAGAAACCCAAAATCATTGGATATTTGAATCTCTAAGCTTGTAAAATTTATTTCAGCAATTTTAGTTTCCTTTATTTTGTTCAACAAGAAATTAATTTCATATTTTTATTGTACTACCCAAATCACCATGCTTAACTCCAAAGGTTTTCTTTTAGTTAAAAATCTTGCATTTTTACCTTAAATATTTTTCTACTTTGTATTTTTTTGCATATGCAAAAATAAAGACTAATAGAGAAAAAGAGGATCAAAATTTGAAAACTCAACATTTTATTTTGAAAAAATATATATTCATTATTATTTAGCATGTAGAAAAATATTTCATTCAGAGTTTTCATTTCAGTGTTTTTCTTACAGAAATAAGCTTATCTGTTTTCAAGTTCTTAAATTTTCACATTTGAAAATATGTTTCCTTTCATTTTGAGGAATCAAAACATAAAATTTTAGTTAAGAAAATGATAGGGGAGATGGAAAAAATTAACTGAATGCAAGAAAAACTTAAATTGCGTAAACTATTTTCAAAGTCAATATGGAAATTTATTAGATTTATGGATTGTTCCAGATTAAGTAAAAGAACGGAGAATGAATATTGACAGTTCTGTGATTAATGGCAAAATGTAGACAGGTATGTTAATAAATCAGAATTAGATGCCCCACAGGCTTAGAGTGGGATAAATTATCCCAAAAGAAAGCAAAAACCTGACCAAACTGTTGTCTGGTAAAACTGGACAGTTTGATTCTTCTATTGAAACCTATAAACATGTAAAATCTTGGCAATATTTTAATGTAGATAAGTTGTCTTTGTCGGCTAATAGTAGTATGACGATTGCTTCAAAAAATTTACAGAAACAAGAAACAGTTGAGAGACTCAAGAAACATGCAGCTCATACTGGAAATGATGGTAGAAATGAATCTGAATCTGAAGAGATTTTCCAACAAATGAAAGAAGGGAAAGCATATAAACAATGTTTGCCACAACAGATATTAGTGATGCCATGCACAATGAATATAGATGAGGACTTAGACACTGGTTCAGGCCAATCTGGACCTCAGGCCAACACTGGTGAAGAGAGTTTGTTTAAAGAGAGATTTAGATATGGAAGGAAACCTCATCCTTTTTGTGAAGATGATGGTAAGGAAAATGATTCAGAAGAAACAGCCTCTAAGAAGGAAAATGAGCTGACAGAAACAATAGAGCTGCAGGACTTAAAACAAATTGAGAATACAAATAATACTTGTACATTTTTGGAGTCCTTAGGAAACTCAAACCTGAATTTTGAGGATGAAAAAGGTAAAAGACGCAAGCAATGTGTAGTGATTGACAGTGAAGGAGAATCTTCCGAGGGGGACAGTCAGCAGGGTGGTGAGCTCTTCCAATCCACAGAATTCAGTAATGGAGAGGAAGAGGATTTTGAATTGAAGAATGACTCACAGTTGTGGTGTAGCAGAAAATTTATTGAACAAGAAAATGAGAGAGAGGCAGAAAACAAAGCTTCAACATTGGTGAGAAAATTAAGTGTTCAATGTAAACGCTCGTCAAAGATCTCCAAAGAACAAGGAGTTGATGATTCCGACGGCAGTACACTGGAGGAGGAAGACATAGAGGCACACAAGGAAGATAAGATACGTGGAAAAAGACAGGCTGAAGCAGATATGTCAGGTGATGGAGATGAGGTGAGTGAAGGCAAGGGAAAACCAGGTGATGAGGCAGGAAAGGTGGCTAATAGTGAAGGAGATGGAAGCTGTAAAAGAGGTAATTCCACAGCAGAACAAGTGCTGAGTGAGGAAAGGGCAGAGGAGGAAGACAAGGGAGTAATAGTTAGAGAAATAAAGAGCCTGAGTCAAAGAACAAAGGACCTAGAAAACAAGACAGAATGGGAAAAAATGGGGAGTAAAGGAGGCCATCTAGAGAAAGGAGAATGGGATGAAGAAGGAGATGGGGAAGGGGAGGAGGAAGAACAAGGAGAAGAGGAGTCTGAGGGGGAAGGAGAGGAGGAAGAGGAGGGAGAGGAGAGCAATGAATGGAAAGAGGGGGAAGAGGAGGAAGCAGAAGGGGGAAAAGAGGAAAGAAAGGAGGAGGAAGAAAGTGAAAGAGACTGGGAAAGGTGGAAAGGAGGCGAAGAGGAGGAAAAAGAGAACAGGGAGGAAGAGGGGAAATACCAGGACACAGGTGATGAAGAGAAGGAAGGGCAGGAAGGGCAGGGTGAAGGAGAAGCAAAAAAGGTGAGTGAAATGAAAGGCTCTATGAAGTCTGATAAAGATAGTGCATATGGTAAAAGGTTTATTACGAACACAGAGGGAAAGGAGAAGGAACATAAAATACAGGGGTCCAGACAGCTTTTAGAGAATGGGCCACTAGGCTCCAAACAATTCTGGAGAAATGTATTGCCACATTATTTGGAATTGAAGTAACAGATTTGAAATATGACCTGATGATGCCACTTTGAATGCCTTGCACAGGATGGGCAGTCCGTACATTTTCTTTCATGGATTTTATGGCATGGTTATTTCACTTGTGGTGCAATAATGATCGATGAGTAGTTGGAGGTTGGGGTAAAGATATCATGAGACTCTGATAGATACCTTGAGTGTAGTCTCCCCCTCCCCAAATTAGAAATAAATAATTAGAAAATGTCAAAAGCCCCAGCAGATAACTGACATTATATATTTCTCACTAAAGATAGATTTAGGAATTTGGAGTATAACATAGGAGTATTTTCTTTGTGTATGCATACTTTGACATTGACAAATGTCAAAGATCTTAAAGGGATATACAAACTTTAGCACTGGTTTTTGTTGTGTGTGTGTCCCCCCCCCCCCATTTCTCAGGCTACAGAGAATAATTATGTAAGGATAGATCTTATTTTAAAACTAAAATCAGGGCACATTTTAAAGAAATAATATTAGCTCAGATGGCAGCTGTGCTCAGAATTTAGCGACTAATACTGTGTCCTGTAAGTTAATGTCTAGGGAGATGGCACTATATCTAATATGATGGAATTACTATCAAATCATTGGTCAGACTAGTCCCTCATTGGGCCTCTGTTTTCCTTATCTGTTTGTTTATTTGTGTAAGACAATTTTTTAAGCAAGAAAAATGGCACTTTAAAGATTAATACCATTTTCTATAAAATTTACTTTAAAAAAATTAAAATCACTTGTGATCTGCCATCCTGTCTTCCTAAACTCCTCTGCTGGCTGAACTTCTGCTATCCTGTCAGGTTCTTCATTCACAGTGTCTATTAGGTGCTCTCAAGGTATCCTGTATTGACTGTTCTGTTCTGTGGGTCTGTGACTTGTCAGAATGTGTGAAGTAAAATAAAAATTAAGTGCATTCATAGTCAGTAGTGGTTTGTGAAAAGGTAAACTGATATTAGATATTGAATTTTCGAGAGCCTAGATTTCTATGGGAGTAGTTTCAACTTTTCCTTAAAATTGTCAGTGTCTTTTTTGCTTAGTATTTATTCCTATCTCCCTTTTTTACCTGATTTCCTTCACCAATACCTTCCCCATCTTGGCCATGAGGGGTTTCTCGTGTTTTTTTTATCAAGGAGGATATTGATGATAAAATTCCTGTGAAATTGGTGCCATGGAATTCTTTGCACATCTAATTCCTTGTGGGTGAGAAGGAATATGAGGAGGAATATCCAAATAATGAAAAAAGGAGGAACTCCTAGGAGCAGTTGTCAATTTTACCTTAGCTGCTGGATCACTACCTAGTAGCTTGCCTAATCCCCCTAACTAACCAATTATGCTGGCTTGGCACTGCAGTGTTCCATCAAATTCTGCTACGTTCACTGAGAGTTTATACCCCAGAATTAATACTATGGTAGAGTATATTGCTGTGCTGGTATTTAAAAGGTAGGCTTTAAATGATTCGATTAGATGGATGTCCAGGTTGGAAATCATAAAAGACAAACTTCCAGTCAGATGAGAAACTCTTAAGCTCAAATGATTCATTTTAAAGGCATGAGCGTTCTTCTTCCACTGAAAAGATAATCAGCAGACACTACGAAAATGATGTTTATTCTGCAATGTCTTCAGTATTTGAACCTGGTGCAGACATGCATTTCTAAACAGAATTTCTTACCCATTTCTTCACAGAATGGTATTCATGTAAGCATTGTGTCCTATACTACTAGCCTAGTGATTTTGAGACCTTTGCACTGGCCTTGGGCCAGTTTCCCTCCCATTTTCCTTCTGGCAAGGTATAGAATTAGAATGGGTGACCTAAGTGATTCTGTAGTAAAATCAATTGTTATCAGCTTCATTGTCATATAGAACGTTGCCAGAGCCAAATGTTCTGGTATTCCTCTTCCTCAATAAAAAGTTGCAAGTTTTGTTACAAAACTTGCTCCACCTTCAAGCTAAACAGAAGTTTGACTAAACAGTCACACTAAGTGAAGGTACAGTGCCCTCTGGGAGCTTATGGAAAGGACTGTAAGGGGCCATAAACACCCAGGTCTTGCTAGACTTCCGCAAGCAGAAATGATTTGCACGTTTGTAAATCTTATATATATTCAGGAGGGACCGAAAAGGAAGAGTAATAATGAGATCTCCTCATCCCTTCGAATTAATCCTTCGTTAAAATAGCTTGAAATAACTGGCTCCTTCCTCTATCGTCCTCATCTGTGGGTTGTTCGCATCTGATCAGTTTGAGAAGAGTGAGTTACATATGTAGCAATCCGTTGAGTTACAGTTTCATAATGAGGACTGTGGCAGAAAAATAAGGTAAGCTATACAGGAAGACTACAGAGACATCTGCCACTGAGGTGAGTGTGATGGAAATATTTCCGGTTATTTAGATATAGAGACAGTCTTGCTCTAAGTGGGGCATCAAAAAATGCAGGTCTGGACTGAAACTCACCCTCGTGGTCCATTTTTCTTCCAAGGAGTAGAAAGGTATATAGGAGGACCAGCAACGCTAGTGAGATACGCTCACCAGGGAATGGTCAACCCTTCAGGATCAAAAGGGCAAACTCTACCTGGAGACAAGGTTCAGAGGAGTTGGGAAGGAGGGTGGAATGGAAATAAGAAACCCAGGGAGAGGAAGTGAGATAACTGTTGGTAAATGCAGAGAGTTGTAATCCCTGAGGTAAAACAAAGCGTATGATTTGTTAGATATAAAACTGATGATCTCCTCTGTAAACCTTCACTTAATTCACAATGAAAAGCTTCAAAACAATAACAAAGTTCATAGAAAAATTCCATGATCTTTTCACTCGACTTCTCCATAAACTTGCTGAAGTCCCCTTATCCCCTCATACATATATTGAGCCGAAAAAATAAAAAGCTACCCTAGAGTGAAGGGAAGGTACTCAATTCCTTCCATAAATTCTCTCAGTTGTGACCATTAAGTATAACTTTGTTATGCCGAGTACCTGACACACAACTGAACATTTGGTACATATTTATTCATATGTTTATGGGCCAAGCCTTAAACAAACAACAACAACAAAAACAAACAAGCTTCCCCAAATCAAGTCCATCTCAAGTGGTGAGGCCAGGTTACAGTCAACCTCCTTTGCCCCCCACCCCACCCCCCACCACTTAAGTGTCAGGGACTAGTTCCTAGCAGTCTGCCTTCACTATTGCTTAACAGTGCTCTTTTGTTTCCTGATACAGTCATGTTCTTATCTGGGACTGCCAAAAAATTAAAAAAAAAAAAAATAAGATCTGAAAGTAAATCTATGGCTTTCTTTCATTAATTCCAAGAAAATGGTTTTTTGCCTTAGGTATGACCCTGATCTCAAACAACAACAACAACAGAGTGCCTATAGGAGTGGCTAGCTACTAAGGAGAACAGTCCAGAAAGGGCTTCCAAGGGACTGATGGGGAAACTTAAACAGTCATGAAAAGGAGAACTCAATCAAGCAAAGAAGGGGCTGGGGGAAGTGTTTATGGGCTGACAGGAGCCATGAGAGTGGTTTGGTGTGACTACAGCCTAGAATAAGTGTATTTTAGGCCTGGGCAGGGAGGCGAGTGAGATGTTCAGCAGAGTGAGATGGTCACACTTGGGTTTTTGTAAGCCCAGTCTGGAAGCAATATGGACGTTGGATTAGAAGGGTACAGTACCAAAGACAGGAGCACCTATTAGGTGGCAGAGGAGATGGAGAGATAGGGACATTTATTATCCCAGAGGTTAGGTTTAGAATGAGAAAGGTTAATATAGAGATGTAATTAGAAGGTCAAGCTTTTCTTGTTTCTGGCTTAGGGATCTAGGTGGAAACAGTTCTGTCCACCAAGACTGAGAACAGAGTAGAAGCAGGTTTGGGAGGCAATGTATGACTTGCTGATTTTCGATTGTCACAGGAGAGAAATGGTCAGTAGGTAGATCTATGAATGGTCTGGAGCGCAGAGAAAGTTGCTGAGCATCACTGATCTCTGTTGTAAAAATGGTGAATTTGAATGAGAGGTTGTATTTATAATGTGAAAGGGAGAAGACCACTGAAGACAGAACTTAGGGAAGCATAAGTAAGAAAGGGAAAACCGAGGGCAGCGGGGTGGGAACAATAATTAGGAACGAGAGAGGTGCCACCCAAGGTAAGGAAGGACTTTCAAGGAGGAAGAAACGATGGAGGATAAAGAGCATAGCTGCTCCTTCAGGAAGAAATAGAATCAGAACTAGAATTTGAAAAGTAAATCTCAAACATGGAGTTTCACTTGTGTATTTATGAATAGGATGGAAGACTTTGGTACTTCTGACACACCTGAGAGTTGGGAAGCATTGTTCTTCCTAGTAATACTGGCCTGAAGCTGAGTCTTGACTCACCCTCCAGTTCACAGCAGCTTCCACCTTTTGCCCTAGCTCCCTGGTTCCTGGGACAGGTGTGGAAGAGACTAGAACAACTAAGACCTTTAATGAGCCATTTCCTAGTTACAAGATCTGGGACATTATGGCAAAGTTCCATGTTTGCATTTTTGTTTGTTTGTTTGTTTTTTACTGGAATGTGGTTTGTCGGTTTGAGTTTTGTTTTGTCTTTTTGGGTTATTTTTGGTGTCAGCTTTATTTTTGATTGCGGTAAGTGTAGTAAAATATTTCAGCAAGCCCTGTGCTTTTTTGGCAGTCCTCAATATGCAGTAACAATTTAATCTTTTTCATGGAGGGAGAGGACTTTACAAAATCTCTTACATTTGTGTACAAATGTGTGTGGTTTCTCCTGTGTCATGTTAATGTCTAATCTGTTTACTCTTTATACTAGGTGTTGCTATTTTCATATCAGAAAGAAACTGTAAAGTAGATTAATTAGGTGCCTTTATTGGACTTGGGAAGCAGTGTTTGTTGTTGTTAAGTGCCGTTGAGTTGATTCTGTCCCATAACGACCCTGTATAGGGTTTCCGAGGCGTGACTGGTGAGCTTGAGCCACTGGCCTTGCAGTTCAAACGGCTTTGCAGTCTGGCACATTAACCCACAGTGCCACACCAGGACTTGGCCTTTGTATTTAATGTCCTGCCCAGGCCCACTCTGTTACTGCTTTGAGGATTTCTACTGTAGCCAAAACATGAATTTGCATGTGAACTTTTCCTGTTCTATAACACCTTGAAATGATGATATAAAAAATACATGCTTTCCTATCTGATGTGACTGAGAGATAAAGTTTTATGTTTACTTTAACTATTTGGCAAGAATTTTTGTTACTTATATGACATTGAGGCATGTCATAAACCCAGAATTGCAGCCCAATGTCTTACACGTGAATCTGTATTTCTTTTTGTTTGTGTTATTAAAAAAACAACAACACACACATAGCTCGAATTATTTTCGTACACTAAGCACACCCATATGATCATCACTCAGATCAAGGAGAGCACCCTTTGGGCTCCCTAGACACTCCCTTTCTGATCCCCTCAAGTCATTTTCCATCCCTTTGGGATAACGTTGAATTCTAACAGCAGTCTCTACTTCTTAATGTAAGTAAACCGACACCTCACCAGGAACATTTGATTTCTTGCTATTCCCCATGAGAAATGTAAAAAGTGTTGCCCTAGTGCAGCCACTCCTCGGAAACCCTATGCAGGGTCGTTATGAGTCAGACCTGACTTGATGATACTTAACAAAGTGCTCTCTCTGACCAATAAAACAAGGGTCCTTTTATGGGATGCGAGGTTTTATGTGAAGCTAGAAGCTTACCTGACCGTTCCAGACTACCCTTTTACATGTTAGGATTCCATTGCCAAGAATGTATTTCAATGGTACCCTTTATTTTTATAAAATAACACTATTGTGCCAATCTCTCTTACATTGTTTCAGTTTGAAGGTAAGTGCTTTATGTGCTTTAAGTAGTTGCTGTCTAGATGTGTCTAAATTAATTTTAAATGTGCTTAATATAAGTGCAAGGGATTGTGGTGGCTGCAATGTACTAAGCACTGGACTGCGAACAACATGTTTCATGGTTCGAGCCCGCCAACCGCTCCTTGGGAGGAAGATGTGTTTTTCTGCTCCCTCAAAGACTTAAAGCCTTGGAACCCCTATTATGGCGTCACTATGAGTCAGAACAGACCAAAGGCACTTAAAATGCATAAATAAATAAATGGAAAGTGCTCTGATGCTATTTCTAATGACAATGCCATTTTCTAATGTTATTGATTACCTGTGAGTCAAGTTGCCTTTAAAGTGACTCATGCCAACCCCATGTGCGCAGACTGCATTATTAGATTTTCAAGGCTGTGACCTCTTGGGAACAGATCACTAAGCTCCTCATCCAAGTCACCTCTAGGTGGATTTAATTAGTAGTCCAGTGCTTAACCATTAGCCCACGCAGGGACTCCTATTTTCTAATAGCTTTCTCAAAGTTAGAAAAGAATTTAATCCTAATAATTCTATATTGTTAAAGGTCCTCTTAGATTTTATGAAAAATGCATTACTAAAGAGATGAGGGTTTTGCTGATTTCTAAAAGAAGTTCCTTTTTATGATCACATATTATTCTATGGTTCCATTAATCCACTAGTTAGCCGACAGGACTAGAGTTGACTGTGGTGCTCAATTTAGCTGAAATCTCCGAAGTCACAGAGGACTGTGCCGGAAACCCAGCTGACCATTCAGCTGCCTCTCTGAGCTGGAGTGGCATAATTGGAGATTTTTAGTCATGGGACTTTCTGTTCTTTTCAGTTGACCTTTCATTTCTGTCTCTTTACCACTCATAGACTTGAAATCTAGTGATCTTGCTTCCCATTTCCTTTTAAAGTCAAGTTCTGTCGGATAACAAGCTACACATAATGTATAACGTTCATCTGCATAGATGTAGTATATAAGTTGCTCAGAGGGAGAGATCATGCAGAAAAAGAGAAAGCTTTAGAAGTTCCTGGTAAATAGTAGCTGTCTTATGGTTAGCTGTACTCAGCCTCACCATGTAGCACATCCTTTGGTCTAGCTGTCTGTCCTGGTGCTGTTCTCCCCTTTCCCCCATTCCTTTCTTCCCCATGACCTTTCATTAAGCCAGTTTAAGTCCTCCCAGAGTAAACTTTGAAACTTTTTTTTAAATCTCAAGCTTTCATTTAAGGGAGTGGCTATAATGCTACTGGTCCAAGGATGCCACTGGTCTTTGTTACTAAGGTGTGAACTTGTAATCCCTCACATTTTGTATTTTTGCCGGGGGGAGGGGGGATATGATTTGTTTATTCGAGGTCATGCTTTTAAAACACCCACCAAAGATCCTATTGAGTATAGACTTTCTCCTTAGCTAAGCAGCTAGTAGGAAACTGGTCAGAGAAAGTGAGTTTTGTCTCCATAACTCTAATAAGACAAGAAGCACTAGATGGTGCCAAGCTACCACTACCAACTGCTCTGAAAGGGATTACATTAGAGGGCCCTGATTAAAGTAGGATAAAAATGTCGAATAAAACTAAAAATCATTAAAAAAAAAAAAAAAAAAAGCTTTGAGTGGAATGTGGGACCCTAACCAGAGAAGCAGACACCAGAGATAGAAGCAGAGATGATGACATGGAGAGATAGAGCAGCTGAGGACTCTAGACTCGTGGAAAGAGAAAGGCTATGTGCTGGTGGCCAGGAGGCAGGTTTTCAGAATGTGCCCTTGGGTTGTTTAAATGGTTATATATTCCTGAGTATTTTTGTGTACCCTTCCCCCAAAAAACACAGAAGGAATAGAAGCAAATAATGTTGAATGATGATGCATGGAGGGGATTGTAATCATTGCAATGAAACGATGAGTGTAAAACCCATGTTCTCCCATGTAAACTATCACTCAATTCACAATAAAAACTTAAATAAAGCCCAAGCTTACTGGTCAAATAGTCATCCATAGTCTGGAAATAAACTCACCCTCATGGTTCAATTTTCAGTCAAAAAATATCTTGTCATTTTGTGCCATCAAGTCAGTTCCAACTCCTAGCGACACTGTATAGAGTTTCTGAGGCTGTAAATCTTTACAAAAACAGAAAGCCTCATCTTTCTCCCAGGGAGTGCCTGGTAGATTTGAACTGTTGACCTTGTGGATAGCAGCCCAGTACATAACGCACTATGGTATCGGGGCTCTTTTTAGTGAATTAGGACAATAGAAAACATAGGGAAATCATCCAAGAAGGGGGCTAATCTAATGACAAACAATAAGCAGTCTTCCCAAAATAATAAAATAATAATAATAATAATTTATCTCAGTATCAAATAAAGGATATAACAAGAGATTTGCTGCCTAAACCTCAAAAACATCCCATGGTTTACTCAGTTTGCGAATGCAGACTCTTTTTTAAACCAGATGGACACATTTGTGCCTATTTGGTTTTCCCTCTATTTTAGATAACTTAGAGCAAGCCATTTAAACTCTTTCTGTCCCTTTATCATATTCCTGGCATGTGGGTATGATTATACATATCTGTCATTTTGTAAATATCAGTGAATCAGTACTTGTAATGTGAGTCTAAATCCTGATTTGGAAACTGAACACATGTAGATATGATTATGTTATAATGCCACAGTAGATCTAGAAGTTTTTAACTTCTGTCAAGCTTAAAAATGTTCTTTTGAGATAACTAAGAAAACATTGCTTTTTCCATTTAACCTTACTATAGGTGCTGGTAAGGGGCTCTGATAGCGTAGTGGTTACGAACTGCGAACCTTAAGGTCAGCAGTTCGAATCAGGCTGTGAACCTTAAGGTCAGCAGTTTGAATTGGGCTGCGATCCTTAAGGTCAGCAGTTCGAACCTACCAGCTGTTCCACAGGAGAAAGATGAGGCTTTCTTCTCCCATAAAGATTTACAGCCTCGGGAAACCCTGTACAAGTTCACTATGAGTCGGAACCGACTCCACGGCCCATAGCAACAACAACATAGGTGCTGGTAGAATTTTGGAATTCCTAGTTGAAAATGCTGAATAAAGCAGCATGCATAAAATCCTTGGTTATACAGTAACTTGATGTACAGCATGAATTACTCAGTATTTTATTTCTTTGACTTCCATATTTGAATTATTATTCTGTATGTGATTTGAGATGGTATATATTATTTATGATAGCTGCAAAAAAAAAAAAAAATCTCTTTTTTGAAGAAGAAAATCTTACTTTCCCCTACTTAACAATTTTGTCACAGGACGAATCATCAGAAGAATCTGAATCAGAAGAAAAAGATGAGGAAATAGATAATGAAAATCTGGAAAATGAAAAGAAAACTCTGGAAGACGATGACATTGTTTCTGCAGATACAGAGAAACCATCAGATGGCAACAATGAAACAGAAGAAATAGAAAAAACCACTGATGACTCAAAGAAAATCTGTGCAAAGGTCTGATGATACATCCTTAAACCCCAAGATTCTGACTAACAGCAAGCATATGGGACCCCCTTATTCCTTGCAGAGGGCACACTCCAAGTTCCCTTGAGAGCAGAAATGACCTCAGCCTCAAATACGTTATAAATCACTTGGTTCATGTGCCTTACATAGGAAAAACTTTGGTCAAACTTATGAATCTGGTAGACTTTTTCTGTAGCACTTTTTCCATACTGCTTGATGGCATTCTGCTTGCTCCCAACCTAAAGGGACATTAGCTGGTATGCATCAGTTCAGTACACTTTGGGGAATGTAATCCAGAAGTTCAGTCCTGGGTCCTTGGAATGATGAAATTGGACAGTTGAAAGCCCTGGTACTGGTGACAAACATAGGGTGTGTGTACCCACATAGTCATGTGTATTGGCATGTATAGGGACAAATGGAAGTTGTTTAAGAAGTCTTTGTGATTGTGATGAGCTCGTCATAGATTCTGTCTAGAAGAAAATATTTACAGGAGGAATAGAAGATGGAATTACCAAGGAAGAGATGTTATTGTTGTGTGCCTTTGAGTCAGTTCCAATACATTAGCAACCCCGGCTGGTGGGTTCAAACTTTCTACCTTGAGATTACCAGTCGTAACAGTGATTATCCTACAGTGCTATACCAGGACTCAAGAAAGACATAGTCAAAGTAGAGCTAGGGATACCAAAAAGTTGTTTCATACATTTGACAATTTTCCTAAGGGTGACCCTGCTGGGAGACAATATATTTGATATAATTAATCTACTAACACTCGTCTGGAAATGTTTCAGAGTTAGGGAATTCAGAAATCCAATTTGAGTGGCACTGTGCTGTTTTTTTCCTTTTCCTTGTCCAACTTCTTATACAGAGCACACGAGATGAAACACTTATCATTGATCTCTCTCTACAAGGCCTGTCTCTAGTTAACTGATTCTCTTTGATTCCCATTCCTCCTTTCCCTGATCATAGGCAACCACTGAGGTTCTTTTATTCCTGTTTCCTTCTAAGTCTCCTTCCTTTCACTGATGGGAAAAATCAAGTTCTAGTAATTATTGTTATCTTTTCAAAGACACTGTTTATGTAAAGCATATATGGGGTTCAGGCTGGGGGGGGGTCCCTAAAATTCTTTCAACCTGAGAAATCATTTGACAAGTTGAGACAATTTATTATATACTAAGTAATGTCCTGGAGTCTTGGAGTAAAGTTCTCGAATTATTTAATTAGTTTTAATCATATAATGCAAGTTAAGAGGTAGACAAACAAGTCATTCAACATCTAAGTCCCTTATTTTAAAAGAACACAAAATAATGAATTGTCAGATGCTTATATGGATAGCTAAAGGCAGACACCAGAACCTTGCTAAAAAAACAAGATTTCTAGCAGAGCACACGTTATGTTTTTTGATATATTGTTTCTTTATTGTCTATAGGAAGAAAAATCCAATGGAGAGGAGCGCTCTATTTGTGAATACAATGAAAACCCCAAAGGTGCGAGCACATTTGACTTTAAAAAGGCTAGATCCGTGTATGTGTGTCTGTGTATTGTGAAGGGATAATTATAGCCTACCTACATAAATTCTATTTTATACTGTTTCCTGTCACATGGTCCTTATCATAACAAGCTGTGAAATATGTACGACAGACTTATTCTCATTTATAACCACCTTAGTATAGCTTCTTCACTGAAAAGTAATTCACATGAATCATGGCGGCTCATGTGTCAATATTACATTTAGGAGAGCTTTTTTACCGCGTCCCTCCCCCATCCCCCTTTTCAACCTGTATTATTAAGTCAGGCTTTTGCCTCAAATTACAATGTAGATTTCTAGTGAGGACTGCTGGATCCAGTGGCTGAGATAGCATGCCCACGTAGGATGACCAGGCTAGCCTAAAGTCACAGCATACCATCCAACCATTCCCCCAGAGGCCAGACCTGAGTCTTAGGTTTTACCATGGATATTTAAGGGCATTGCGTCAGACTGCAAAGTCGTTTGAACTGCAAGGTCGGTGGTTCAAGCTCACCAGCTGCTCCTTGGAAACCTGATATAGGGTCGCTATGGGTCAGAATTGACTCAATGGCACTTAACAACAACAACATTTAAGGGGAGTTCTTTCTCAAACCTAGCTGTTGGTGCTACAGAATGGAAGAAGCTGTAATTCCCCACGAGACCCACAGTTCCTACACCCAAATCATCGGTGTTTTTGGTGTACAGCCTTTAAGTCTTGTTTCCACACCACCATGCCACAGTGTGCTTTTACTGTGTTCTCATTCAAAATCACTGCCAAATGTGATTCTGATCTGAACTTAAACATTGGCAGAGGTAGTTTCCTTAATTATTTTTTCCTTCTAACTTCTTCAGAGAGCATAGTAATTTTTAGACTAATTTAAACAAAAGATTAAACTGTGTATCATCTCTAATTATTCTTAGATGAGTGTCCAATTCTCATATGGCCTAGCATGCTAAAAGAAAATGAATATAAGTTCAAGTAGTTAATGATATAAAATTAAAAGAATGCATATGTTTTATAAGAAGTACTTTAAAGATCAGTTTTCAGCTTTCTAAAACTTAAGAGTAATTCAAAACACCAACAATAATATGTCCATTTGAGTTCAAAGATTTTAATTAGGTTAATTTTTTAAAGTTAGGTTGTTTAATATTAGCATTGTTGTTGCTGTTAGATGCCATCGAGCCGATACTGAATCATAGCAACCCTCTGCACAACAGAGCGAAACACTACTTGGTCCTGGGCCAATTGTTGCCATGCTTGAACCCATTGATGCTGCCACTTTGCCAGTCCATCTCGCTGGGAGTCTTGTGCCTATATTTAAATAGTGGCCGGCCTAAATATAATGAATTTCGATAAATTAGTATATCAGATAATTCTGGGCTTTTTGCCTTATTGCAGTGTTCAGGACACATGCAGTGTACTAGCCCCATGGTAAGCTCTTTTAGTGATATCACATGACTCAGGGTTTGTACAGTTTCAATGAAAATGTCAAGACTGCTCTTTGTCACTAGTCAGGGAAATAAAAGTATTTTTAAATATGTTGTATTATAGGAAATATGAAGTTTCGTCCAGAAAACTATTTTTGGGAAATGAAAGAAGCAAATGGATCAATGTGCGACGATTCAAAAGTAACAAAGAGGGTAAGTGAAATGGATTTTTCATTTTAGTGTATTCATTTGCTTCTTCTAATTTTTATACAGTGATCCAGATAATTTTACTCCCTTCACAATGACACTGTAGGGTAAGCACTGGACCACAAGGTTGATTTGAATTGCAAAGTGGCAGTTCAAACCCACCAGCTGCTCTTCGTAAACCATATACAGAGTCGCTATGAATCAGAGCCAACTCCAGTGCACTTAACAAAAGGATGTGAAAACTTTCAGGTGATGATTTGCATTTTTAATATGCATATTTATTTATTGGACTTCTGGTGTGGCATTGTAGCATAAGCATTGGATTGAAAGTTTGGTTTGAATTGCAAGTTCAGTGGTTCAAACTCACCAGCTGCTCCTTGGAAACCACCCTGTATAGGATCTCTATGAGTCAGAACCGATTCTAGTGCATGTAACAACAGCAGCCATAAAAGATGTGAAAATTTTCAGATGATGTTTTGTATTTTTAATGTGCATATTTATTTATTGGAGTCCTGGTGTGGTGCTGTAGGAAACATCGAACCAAAAGATTGTTTTGAACTGCAAAGTCAGTGGTTCAAACCCATCAGCCACTCCTTGCAAACTGTATACAGCGTCGCTATGAGTTGGAACCGACTCAGCGACACTTAACAACAACAACAACAACATTTATTTATTGGATTCATAGGTTATGAGTTGGGTTTCTCGCCAAAATGTAATGGTGTGTTCCTTTTCATCTTCCCATCTGGCTGGTTCATTATATAATAAGAGATGCTTAAAAGCCCAGTGAAACTTTATTGCCTAAATAATAAAAGTGTAGTAATCATGAGAGACTAGAAGAGAGTAGGGTAAAGTTAGTAGAGAGGAAGAATGAAGCCTAAATGTGGTGGTGCTTAGAAAACATAGTAGCATGCCACTGCACTCTCCTGGCTACTTTTCCTGTTATGCAGCTGCTATAGAGAAGTCTCCAGCACTCATCTGTCAGTTTGTCATACTGTGGTGACTTGTGTGTTTCTGTGATGCCAGAAGCTATTTTAAACACTAACAGTATTTTAAACAAGAGCAGGATGAACCCTGGTGAATAGGTTTCAGTCAAGCTTCCAGGATAAGGACAGACTAGGCAGAAGGAGAGGCAGACTATTTCTGACTGTTTAGCCACTGAAAACCTTATGAACAGCAGCGGACCATTGTCAGACATTGTGCGCAAAGATGGTCCCTTCAGGTTGGAAGGCACTCAAAAGACAACTGGGGAAGAGTTGCCTCCTCGAAGTAGAGTTGAGCATAGTGAATGGAGCCAAGTTTTCGGGAACTTCGTTTGCTGATGCGACACAACTCTAAATGAGGAGAAAAGGTTGCAAGCATCCATTAATAATTGGATCATGGAATGTATGAAGCATGAATCTAGGAAAATTGGAAGCTGTCAAAAATGAAAGGGAATGCATAAAGATTGATATCCTAGGCATTAATGAGCTGAAAAGACTGGCATTGGCCATTTTGATTCCAACAGTCTTAAGATTTACTATGCTAGAAGAACAAATTGAAGTGGAATGTCATCACATTCATTGTCAAAAAAAACATTTCAAGGTCTTTTTGCAATAAGATAATACACACCTACAAGGAAGACCAGTTGATACCACAGTTTTACAGATTTGTGCACCAACCACTAAAACCAGTGATGACAAAAGAATTCAAGGATTTGATTTTGCTTGGGTTCGTTGTCAACATTCATGGAAGCAGCTGTCAAGAAATCAAATGACATATGGCACTAGGCAAATCTGCTGCACAAAACCTCTTTAAAGTGTTCAAGAGTGAAGATGTCAGTTTAGGGACTAAAGTGTTCCAGACCCAAGCAATGATATTTTCAATAGCTTCATATATGTGTGAAAGATGAAGAGTGAACAAAGAATATCATAAAAGAATTGATGCATTTGAGTTACGGTGTTGGAGAAGAATATTAAAAGTACCGTGGACTGCCAGAAGAACATACAAACTTGTACTGGAAAAGAACAGTCAGAATGTTTCTTAAAACCTAGGAAGACCAGATTTCATCTCTTATACTCCAGACATATTATCAAGAGGGACCAGTCCCTGGAGAAGGACATCATGCTTGGTAAAGTGGAGTGTCAGCGAAAATGAGGAAGACCCCAATGAGATGGATTGGCACAGTGACAGCAGCAAATGGGTTCAAGCATAATGATTTTGAGGATAGCACAGGACTAGGCAGTATTTTGCTCTGTTGTGCATAGGGTTGCTATGAATAAGAACTGACTCGACGGCACACACAACAACCAACTGCCTCGGTCTGAAACTGATGAAGCATGCAATCCGGATGCATTGATAATCATCACTGGTGATTGGAATGCTAAAGTTGGAAACAAAGAGGAAGGATCTGCAATTGGAAAATATGATCTTGGTGACAGAAATGATGCTGCAGATTGCATGATCGAACTTTGCAAGACCAACAACTTATTTGTTGCAAATAGACCTCACCAGGTGGAATACACAGAAATCAAATCTGTGGGCGGAGATTGTGGAGAAGCACAATATCATCAGCCAAATATGGCCAGGGGCAGACTGTGGAACAGACCATCAGTTGCTGATATGCAAATGCAAGCTGAAGCTAAAGAAAATTTAAATAACTGTCAGTCAAAATATGACCTGAATACATTCCACCTGAATTTAAAGATCATCTTAAGAACAAATTTGATGCATTAGACACCAGTGATCAAAGACCAGAGAGTTTTGGGGTGACATTAAGGAAGAAAGCAAAAGGTCATTAAAAATACAGGAAAGAAAGAAAAGATCAAAATGAATGTCAGAAGAGACTCTGAAACTTGCTCTTGAGTATAGAGAAGCTAAAGCAAGTGGACGAAATGAGAGAGTAAAACAGCTGAACAGATAATTTCACAGGGCAGCTCAAGAAGACAAAGTATTATAATGAAATGTGCAAAGACTTGGAATTAGAAAACCAAAAGGGAAGCATATGCTCAGCATTTCCCAAGCTGAAAAAACTGATGAAAAAAATTAGTCTTCGACTTGCAATACTGAAGGATTCTATGGGCAGCATATTGAATGATGCGGGAAACATCAGAGGACGATGGAAGGAAAATAGAGAGTCACTGTACCAAAAAGAAATGGTTGATTTAAGGAGGTAACATATGACCAGGAAACAATGGTACTGAAGGACAAAGTTCCAGCTGCACTGAAGGTATTGAGAAAAAACAAGACTTCAAAAATGGATGGAATACAAATTGAAATCATTCAACAAATTGATGCAGCACTGAAGACACTCATGCATCTCTGCCAAGAAATTTGGAAGACAGCTACCTGGCCAACTAATTGGAAGAGATCCATATTTGTGCCCATTCCAAAGAGAGGTGACCCAACGGGATGCTGAAATCATAGAACAATATCATTAAGTTCTGACCCATAGCGACTCTGTAGTGTTTCCAAGAAGCAGCTGGTGAGCTTGAACTGTAGACCTTGAAGTTCAAATTGAATTTACAGTTTAGCACATTAACACATAGTGCTGCACCAGGTCTCCCATTAATATCATAGGCAAGTAAAAGTTTGCTGAAGATAACTTAAAAATGCATGCTACCATACATCAACAGGAAGCTACCAGAAATCCAAGCTGAGAAGAGGACTTGAAATGGAGGACCTCATTGCTGAAGTCAGATGTGAATAACGTTTCTTGAAATGTTATTTAGGGAAATAACCAAAATAATGAAAACTCCCATCTCTTAAAGGATCTCTGGTAGTGTAGTGTTTACGAGTCAGGCTGCTAACCTCAAGGTCAGCAGTTTGCAACTGCCAGCCATTCTGCAGGAGAAAGATGAGACTTTCTGCTCCCATAAAGATTTACAGACTCAGAAACCGTATACAAGGGTCGCTGTGAGTCAGAACCGATTACACGACACACTACCACCACCACCACCATACTGTACTTCACAGTATGAAGAATTTCCTGTGCCGACTTTTTTCCCTTGGAAAGTTTTTGAAAAAGAAAATCAAATGTAGTGAAGGAAGATGAAAAGTAAAGGAGTCAGGAGACATAGAAGAAGTTAAAGAAAGAAAAACTGAAGTGAAAGAAGTAGAAAAAGAAATATTTAATCACTCCTCTGACTAAATGGAAAAGGAATATTCTAGAAAGTATGGTCAAGTTTCAATAATTTTCAGGCTCTGCAGTTTCAAGCATTCCTCATAGGTTGGTAGGATTTGGATATACAGAGACAAGGAGAAAGCAATAGCCAGGGGAAGATGTACAGTGTGGGAAGCAGAGTCAACCAGGGGGCCCGAATGCTACATCAAGTCAGGACAACAAAGGTGGAGTTGTGCCAGGATGCAAAATTTTTAAAGACCATACTCATTACTATTGGGTTGATTCTGAGTCATAGAGTAGAACTGCTCCTTAATCTTGGTTGTAATCTATGGAAACCGATAGCCAAATTTTACTTGTATTACAGCACTGGGTAGGTTTGACCCATCAACCTTTTACATTAGTGGTCAAGAGCAAACTCTTTGTACCACCCAGGGATGCAGAAAACAGATACAGCTAACCCAAATTTAATTGCCTTTGAGTCAATTCCAACTCATAGTGACCACCCTCTGTTTGTGCACATTCCAAAGGGAGGTGACAGAGTAGAATTGTCCCAGAGGGTTTTTAAGACTGTAAATGTTTATGGAAAGAGACTGACGCATCTTTCTCCTACAGAGCAGCTGGTGAGTTCAAACCACCAACCTTTTGGTTAGAAGTCAAGCACTTTAACCACTGTGTAACCAGGCTCCCCAGATACATTGGTTGTTATTGTTGTATGCCGTTGGCTCCAACTCACAATTATCCTGTATAGGTATTCTTAGGCTGTAAATCTTTGCCAGAGCAGAAAACCTCATCTTTCTCTTATGAGTGGCTGGTGGGCTTGAACACCTGACCTTCTGGTACACAGTCAAGTACTTATCCTATAGAGTCACTGCGCCCCCACAGAGTTAGTTATAGGACATCAAATAGGACCTCAAATACCAGGCTGAAGAAGTTGATCTTAAATTTTAATTATGCTTAAATTTTTCTCATTAGTACCTAATGGAAAAGTATGCTTCAGAAAATATACATTTCCGTAATCAAATAAAAGACAAAAATGATGAGACTTCTCCCACAAATAGTTACAACCTCAGAAACTCTGTACGGGGTCGCTGTGAGTCAGAACTGACTTTGACGGCACTGAACAACAGTATACAAGGTGCACCATAAAGAAATGTTAAGATCACCTTACTGCTCTTGTTCTTAAGTGCCATCAAGTTGGTTCTGACACATAGCGACCCTCTATAGGCTTTTTGAGGAGCAGCTGGTGGGTTTAAACTGCCAACCTTGTGGCTAGCAATCCAGTGTTTATCCTACAGTGCCACACATTACTGCTTACAAATATACCTAAATATTATTAATAACGCTTTATAATAATGCTATAATATTATTATTAATGCTTCTCTTACTGAACTCATTCTTACTGGCTTTTTTTTTTTTTTTTTAGCATTCTCTCTTTAAGAGGATGTCATTGACCAGTCATAAAAATAATCACAAGCCACTTCCAGAAACAGGAGATCAACTAACCTTTAAAGGAACCAAGAAAGAAACTAACCAGAACCAGATGAAGCAGCATCTGAAGAGTGCTTCAGCAGTAAATGGTGACAGAAGATCAAAATCTTGCTCAATACTATAAATGTGTATTTATGGCTTTGTGATCTCTAATCACATTGTAATTTATACTTGAAAAAGAATATAACTTCAAAAGCAAGTTTCTGATGGCATACTTTTGAAGATAAGTTAATATGTTTTATTTGAACAGTACAACCAGGTTTGATATTTATTTATGCTAATATTTTTAACAAGAACTTAAAAATATGCGTGTATCTCAAACTCCCTTTCAAGTGTTGTGGCCTTAACTGTTCAGTGTTGCAATTTAAAACAAAGAAGTATATTTTTATATGTGAAATTTAAGATATTTCATAGTTTTTACAAACAATTGTACTTTATCATTTCATAAGGCAATATTTGAAATCTCATGACACTGTAACAGTTTTTACTGTGTTTGCAGTTTTTAAAACCTGATGCAAAATTGTTTCTAATGAGCATATTTTTAATAAACTCTATCTGGTTGTTTCCACTGTTAAAATGGATGAGTATGAATATAATTTGGAGGTACTTGGAGATAGTGAAATGACACAATTAGGGAAAAAAAAAAAAAAACCCTCTGTCTAAATTGAAAATGATGGAGAAAACAAGATGTATTTGCCAGAGTAAAGAAAATATAAGAGCAGATGGTAATAGTACATATTTATGGGAGAAGAGTAAGGATTGAAATTTCTTTAGGGGAGTGACTTGACATGAAAACATCTTGAAGATGTAGTCTTATCTGAAATGTTTAACCATGCCACAGATTGTCACCATACAAGACCAGAACATAGCTTGCATGTTTGATCCACCCAGCTCCACTGTTGATCCCATTCCTAGCAACCCTATATAAGGCGTCTGAGGCTATAAATCTTTATGGGAGCAGAAAACCTCATCTTACTCCCAAGGAATGGCTCATGGATTTGAACTGCCGACCTTTCAGTTAGCAGTCCAGTGCCTACACTAGAGCACCACGAGGGCTCCATCTAACATTCACAGTGGTAAAGAAATTTGACTCAGTCACATAACGTTCTGCCACAAGGAATGAGAGGGATAAAGCTATTGAGTCCACTCAAACATTGCTTGCCTGTGCTAACAGGTGCTACTTAATGGAACACACTACCTTTACCTTCCTCATTCTGGTTTCTGAGTAAGACATTTTAGTCGTCAGTCAGTCACGTCCTTTAAGCTGAGAAATAGAAATTCCGTCTTTACCTCTAGGTAGATGTGGCTCGAAAGTCTTAAATACTATCTTCTGTGTAAATATGACATTTAGTACAATCCTGGTATTAAAGGGAAATTTAATACTGTACTAGTATAGTGGTGGTGGTGGTTCTGACTCTTAGTGACCCTGTATAGGGTTTCTGAGGCTGTAAATCTTTATGGGAGCAGAACGCCTCATCTTTCTCCTGTGGCGGCTGGATTCAAATTGCTGACCTTGCAGTTAGCAGCTTAACCACTACAATACTGGGTCTCCTTTGCAAAAATACTTAACTAAAATATAAACTGTAGGAGCCAATTGGAAGTAAAGGTCACAAATGGTACCAAGACCTGACAGCTGCAGTAGACAGAATCCTAAAATGGCCCTCAAGGTTCCCACCTGTTGTACCCAACCCAAACCAAAGCCACTGCCATCTATTTGATTCTGATTCATAGCAACCTACTCTGACAGAGTAGGACTGCTCCTTTAGGGAGACTGTAAGTCTTTACAGGAGCATGAAGCCTCATCTGTCTCTCATGAAGTGGCTGGTGGGTTTGAACCTCTGACCTTGTGGTTAGCAGCCCAATGTCAGTACAAGTACACACTGTATAAAATATTTTCCCCCTTAGTATGGACAGAACTTGTACATGATGGGACAACAGTCCTGTGTCTAGGTTATATGAAAAGGTGAAGTGATTTTGCAAATACAATTAAAGTTTCTAATCAGTTGTCACAGAGTTAATTACAAGGGCGATTACTCTAGATGAGCCTGACCTATTCAGGTGAGTCTTTTAAAAGAAGGTCCAGAGATGCAGAAGTCAGAGAGATTCAAAACTCCAAATATCCTCTCCTGTTGGTCTTGAAGAAGCAACCTGCCATGTCAGGGAGAGGGTTATGTGCCTGGTAATTGTGGGTGGCCTTTAGGACCTGGGAACCTCAGTCCTATAACCATAAGGAACTGAAGTCTACCAACAACCATTGAGTTTAAAAGAGAACCCCAATGCTCAGGTGAGACCACAACTCCAGCTGACACCTTGATTGCAGGCAGCCTTGTGAGACCCATATAAGCCATGCCCAGACTACTGACTCATGAAAACTATAAGATAATAAATGTGTGTTGACTTAGCCCACTAATTGTGTGGTAATTTGGTAAGAGCAATAGGAACTTGCTTGTTATATTGCTGGGAAGGGCCTCTCTATATGGCAGTTTCCTTCATCAAAACTCACAAGGCAATGAGTCAATAAGAGAGTGTCTTCTAGCAACACAAAAGCCACAGTTTTATATAATATAGTACAGAAGTGACATCCTGTCACCTTTGCCATATTTTATTGGTGAGAAGGAAGCCAGAGGTCCTACCCACATTCAGGCAAAAGAATTACAAAAGATTGTCAAGTCCAGGAAGTAAGGCTCATGGGGGTTATCTTAAAGCCTGCCCACCATATTGGTCTTTTGGTCAATGAGTCTAAAGGAAAATGCAACAGATAATAGATCAAAGATGGAACAAAGTCAAAGCACTTGGAAGAAGTAGGCATGAGAACAAGCTTCACCAAACTGATAAGTATTCCTACTTTGTCAGAGGTTTCAAGACAATTCATAAAGTGGTTTGTGGAGAAGGAGCTCTGACAGTGTAGTGGATTACGAGCTGAGCTGCATAACCAATTCCAATTTACCAACTGTTCCTCTGGAGAAAGATGAGGCTTTCTACTCATGTCAAGATTTATAGCCTCAGAATCCCTATCAATTAAAATGGGGTAGGATTCTGCATTATCACTTGGAGATATTGGGACCATTTTTAAAATCTAGGCTTCTTAATTGGTGAGAAAGGAGATTGTCGTTAGATGCCAATTGCGTTGATTCCAACTCATAGTGACCCAGAATACACAACAGAATGAAACACTGCCTGGTCCTGCGCCATCCTAACAACCGTCCCCATGTTTGAGCCCAATTATAGCTACTGTGTCAGTCCATGTCATTGAAGGTCTTCCTCTTTTTCACTGACCTTCTACTCTACCAATCAAGAGGTCCCTCTCCAGAAACTGGTCCTTCCTAATAACATGTCCTAAGTATGAGAGAGAAAGCCACACCATCCTCACTTCTAAGGAACACTCCTACTGTGCTTATATATTTAATATTCTTCACCAACACCCTTGTTCAAATGTGTCAATTCTTTGATTCCTTTTTTCCCAACTTTTGAATGCATATGAGGCAATTAAAAATAGTGGACACTAAAAATGAACCCAATAAGCAAAAACCTAAATTAACATATTTGAGAACTCTTAAAAAGCAGAAAAGGAATGTCATTGGTAAAATTGAATAGAATGATAAATTTTTACTTGTTTCAGGAATAAAAGTAGTTGTAATTACTGATACATTTATAGATTTAAAAAGTGAAGTTACTTCTTTCAATCCCTAAACTCTCAATCCTCATCTTTTCCATTAATTATTCTTCCCGTTCTATAATGTTTTTACCATGGTGGGTGTTAGGTGCCATCGAGTAAGTTCCAACTCATAGTGACCCTATGCACAACAGAACAAAACACTGTCCGGTCCTGTGCCAGCCTCACAAGTGTTATGTTTAAGCCCATTGGCCCATTGCTATTGTCATTGTGTCAGTCCATCTCTTTGGGGTTATTCCTTTTTGCTTACCCTCCACTTTACCATGTACTCTACGTATTGGCCTTAATGGGGCCTGAAAATAGAATCTACTGAACACCAGAGAGCCACTGATATTGTTCAGATATAGATGAATTATTAAATGGATATGAATTATTTAAGATAGTAATGTTCGGTTTCATTGGACTTATAAAAGAACATGCAAATCCATGTGAAGATGTTTTTATGAATGGGTAGTCAGATACAACCTCCTATGTATGAGAAAGAAAATGTACAATTTTGGAGAAGTACTTAGGTTTGAGAGCTACTGATCATATAAAGAACCATCTAGGTTGTTTATGGTTTTGTTTTTTCTTTTTTTCACATGGCTTTTTATTTTTCTTATTTGATAGAGAAGTTGCAGTTATTAGAATACAAAAGAAACCACCTATAATCTATAATTCAGTTTTATGAAACCATCTTAACTTGATAAGTATTTGTGCCAGCGTTCTACATTTGTTCCTATTATGATTGTTACCCCGAAAACACTGGTTTATAAAACACAAATGAATCTGAATGAATGAATAACTTTTATAGCACAGTTGTAAGATTTATGGCCTCACTTCAACCGTTTCATTTCTTGTTTGTTTCCTAAATTTTTAACAGTTTTTACATGTATAGTTTAATGACATTGATTACATTCTTACAGTTGTGTACACATTCTCATCCTCTTTTTCTGAGTTGTTCCGGTCCCATTCACATAAGCTCACTGTCCCCTAAGGTTCCTGTCTGATCTTTTGAGTTGTTATTGTGAAACTGATCCCATATAGATAACTTCTCTCTTTTTTAAATGGTTTGTTGTGGATTATGTGATAGTTTACATGGGAGAACATTAGCTTTACATTCATCCTATCATATGTCATTTCACTGTCATGGTTACAGTCCCTCCATGCATCCTTATCAACCAACCAAAGGTTACACACACACACACACACACACACACAGCACAGCACACAGCTCCTCTCCCTCTCTGGGTCTAAAGTCCCGGGCCGGCCGCTGCATCTCTCTACGTCATCGTTTCTGCCTCCATCTCTGGCGTCACTGTTTCTCTGGGTAAGGGTCCCGCACTCGGGTTCTTTTCCCTTGATGGTCCCAGGGACCTCCGCTCCTGCACTACAAAGTCAACTACTCACCTCCTTTTGTTACAAAATGTCTACATTTACATTTCCAACCCTCACAGCCAGTCCTGATAACA